CTTGCCATTGTTTGGAAAGTCTGATAGCTAGTAAGTGATCAATAAACTGTGGCCATGGTATTGTTGTTGTTCTATTTTTATTTATTATTATAATGCTACAGACCCAGTGGGACCCAAGGCAGGAGACCCGGTGGCCATCTGAGCACAGACACACTGCCCTCTGGTGCTGCTGTTGAGGAATCAGCACCTGGGAGAAAAAAGCTCCAAGAAAGAAGGCCAAGGCCAAGGCACCAGCCCCAATCTGTACCAGCTCAGTTCCAACCCCACTATGCCAGTCTCCAGAGGATAAGCCAGTATTTGCTGACTGCTGGCCCCAGAGAAGGGCCCTGTTTCTGGATGTCGGTCCTCTCTCTTGCCAAGAAAAGCCTGGGGACACCGCCCCCATTTCTACCCTCTCTACATGGCCCAGTGGAGTAACATTTCAGCCTCTGGAGGTTCTTGAGCGAGCATGACAGGTCAGAGCAAGTATGACAGGTCAGACTGTAGCTGCAGGAGAGGTAAAAGTGGCAGGGTGTAAGAGGATGTGGGAGGCGTGGCCTTAGTGTATTAGAAACAGCCTTAGCTACAGAGCAGAGATATTCACCTCCAAGACTGCTCCCAAGTCTCTCTTACATAGGTCTTGTACCTTCTGCAAGAGAAGGGGTGGTTCTGATGCCCACAGAGGCAGCTGGGCCTCCTGTCCTTGCAGGGAGATCTACTTCCCAGTGCTGGGACATAGTGCCTGTGTGAACATGAGGCCCACAAGCTTCACAAAGGATGCTAACGGCAGCCAAGCAACCTTGCATTCCTGCGGGGGTAAGGAGCCAAGAGCAGCCCTTCAAAGCTCTTTCAAAACCGCATCTTGAACTGAACTTCTAAACACAGCCCACCATGCCCAGCCACAGGGGGAGACAGGTGACCTTGGAAAAGCTTAGCTGGACCTGGCTAACCCTGCATAAACTACCTTTAAAAACCCCAGGTCATCCTGACATTAAAAAAACTGTTTAGCGCAGTGTGAGGCAGGGTCTCAGAGAAATTAAACTCCAGCTGGAGAAAGATGGGGAAGTCGGGGCTGATGGGCTGAAAAGTGGAGGAAGAAATTCCTCAAGTTAATGTGTTCTAAAGCCCCTTGGGCCACTCCCAGGTCTTGTCTGATGCTATTTACTTCCAAGGGGGAAAGCCCTATTGATCTTCATTCAGCCCTGTCTGTTCCTACAAGACACGATGTCTTGGCACATCACCAGTCACAAGAATCCCTCATTGTTTTAAAAGCAGGGGCTCCCAAACTCAAGAGTGTTAAAGATGATTTGGACGAAATGATCAGAGGAGTGGCCAATAAAGCTAGTTTGGGGACTCGGAGGGAGGGAGCTTCCCTACCCTGGGAAGAGCTGCTGGGCCCCTAACACATCCAGAAGCTAAGGTCCTTGCAGCTAGCTCTGTTCTGTGGATGCTTAGAGAGTGCAGAGCTGGGCCCGCCCTTCCTCCCAGCCTCCTTACACCTGCTTCAAGTCTCTGCAGTCATTTGGCTTTGAATTTCCCTGCTGGCTGGCCAGAGATCACCAACAGCTACCAAGCTCCTCACACTCTGAAGTCTCGCCAGATTTCACCAGCTGCTGCCACCACTGCTGGTTCCTTTTTCAGAGACCAACCTGGACTTCCATCCTATAGTACATACGTCTGCAATCCTAGGAAAACTATAACCAAGAAACCCACAACGACAATAACCCTTCCCGCCAGCCTGCTCTAAAGGGAACTTAAAAACCACAGATTATGCCACCCAGATTGTTTACAAGTGGGGAAACTAAGGCATAGGAGTAGGAAAAAGAGTAGGGTTTGATCAAAAACAGTCCAGTAAATTGAATAACAAAACCCAGGCCCCTTGCCTCTAAGCCTAGCACCCTCCATTTGAGCTTCTAGGTCACAGAACCTGGAAATCCAGGTCCCCCTGGAAGGTCACAAAACTCATTTGGTTGAGAGGACCCTGCACCAAATTGCTTTCCCAGTTAAGACCAGGATCCATCCAAACAATAATAGCAATGCTAACAATAATAATAATAAAACGAGGAACAATATGCCTTGCAAACCCTCAACGGCAACCCTCGATAATCACACACAGAATACATCTCCCACATATTCATATAAAATAATCAATGATCATTTTTTCCGCAGACTACAATCCAATTACTCTCTCTCTCCCTCACCCTCTCCCTCACTCTCCTTTGTTACTTGCAAACCATCCAAGCAATCAATGCCTTGACCTCTCCCTCTGATAGACACAATTACAAAAAGACAGAGCAATGCAATTCATCTATTCAAGACGGATTGTTTGAACACTCTGTCACACTGCTGAACTATCCATCTCCTTGTCTAAGAGGAAATTTCAGCCCCCAAAAGAGGCACAAAGAGAGGGAGCGGGTACCACATTCCCCAGCCTAGAAAGCCCCTCTTGTACTGACAGGTAAACCCTCTTTGGTCCTGTGCTCAGCAACGCCTGGCTGCTGGAAAAGGGATTGGGATCCAATGGCAGAAGAAGCACCCAGCATGCTCCAGAGCCCAATTTTCCAGGGGCCTCAATTCCTGCAGCCCCATCCAGAGCCCTCAGATGCCAGAGATGGGAAAGAAGAGATGACATCTGGTCTAACCAAGGCAGTATCTTTGAGTTGCAGCATGGCATATTCTCATTCTCTCTCTCTCTCTCTCTCTCTCTCTCTCTCTCTCTCT